GGGGGGGGGGGGCGGGGAGCGCACCCCCCACCCCCATCCGCATCCCGCAGAGCCCGCCCCCCTTGGATCGTGCGTGATCCGAGCATTGGCCCCCGGCCCTGGCGGCCCCCGGGCGCACCCGGGTCCAAGGTCTAATCCCCGCCCTACAGGCAGGGGAACCACATTAATTCGACTGCCTCTCGCCCGGGGGGGGGACGGGGGTGAGGGTGCGTTCCTTTCTTTTTGGCGGGCGAGGAACGTGGCTCGCCCGGACATCGAGGGTTCTCCCCGCCCCCCCCCCCCCTCCGGGACATCCCCACTGACTGTCCCCGGCCGGGCGCATTGCTGGCCGGCTGAAAATCCGCCCACCGCTCGGGCCATCGCGCTGGTGGATACGGCTACTGGTGGTGATACATGCACTTGGCCCCCTGCTCCCCCTCTGGTCCGGCTCCCCGCGGATGCGGGTGCGCCGCATACGGGCGGATGCCACCCCACTGCCCAACGTCGCATGCCAAGGGCTTGGGTGGGGCACCTACGGAAGGGGGGGGGGGGGAGGGGGGACGGGCACAGGAGTGGTGTATTGTCGGGGATACCTGCATGCAGGATGTGAGCCTGAATTCAGGGCCGCTTGGCGGACAAAAAAAATGACACCCAGCGATACACTTGCCACAAACATGGGCGGTTGTGCTCAATTGAAGCTGAACACCAGCTGCGGAGCAGGCGACTCTCGGCCTGCGGGACTTTCGGCCAGGGCTGGGCCAGCCTTGGTGGCACCCACGCCCGATAGAGCCGCCTCCAGCAGGAAGAAGGACCGCAAGACATCCACCACGGCCAGGATCTGGGCCACAGCCAGGACCAGCGTGATGGCGAAAAAGAAGTTGGCATTCCCCGCGCCGGAGCCAACCCACACATACCACAGCGCCGGGGCCAGGGCCGTACTGTAGAGAACCAGCTGCCCCACGAGGAAGGTGTGCCGAAGCCGGTCGCCGACATAGCACATGTGCGCCAGCAGAACCGCCGCCGTCAGGGCGTAGTCCCCGACCGCGGGATACGGCTTTAGCAGGTTGTAAATGGCAATAAGCATGGCCGCCAGCAGGAGCGGCTGGCGCCTGGGGGCACGATGATGAGGAGGGGGATGTCCAGTGAGTGGATTTGCGACAGAGAGAGAGAGAGAGAGCGGGGGGGGAGGGGGGGGGGGGGCACAAAACGCGCCGGGCGAGGATAGGTCGGGGGAGGGAGGCGCACCACAGCCGGATGCTCAGCGGGACTAGGTAGATCAGGATGTTCACCTGGAACACCACACGATAGAAGACCGCAAAGGGGGCAAAGATCTCCAGCAGGAAGTACCAGATGAGCCCGAGATTCGGGGCCAGGTCCGGAATGGTGAGCCTGACCGGCAGAGGAAGGCAGGAGAGACGGTTCGATGGTGAGTTTCAAAGTGACTGGCGACGTCGACCGAGGCACATGGATGCGCATGCGCATGTGCAACAGGATCCATGTGCATGGGCCTTTCTGGCAGGCAGATGTCTCCACTGGAATGCATGGATGTGCGTTTCCAGAGAGAGAGAGAGAGAGAGAGATGTATGCGCGCGTGTGCATGTACGTGCGCATCTGTGGGCACTTGAGGACGTACTGGAAGAGGTAGACATGCTGGATGAAGGTCCAGGAGCCAATCAAGGCACGGGAGCCGGCCAGCAGGGCCACTCCGGCGAGCAGCAGGCCCAGAAGCATGGCGGCCACAGGGCCAGCCCGACGGCCGGGAGCACGCTGTGCCAGCAGCAGCCCACATGGAACCACCAGCATCAGGGGGTACACCCCAAAGTAGGCGGCGAAGGCGAGGGCCGCACCGGCCAGCAGCGGCGATCCCCGATCCGCGGCCACCAGCGCCCCGAGGCTGAAGAGGTTGAGCAGGGAGGGGCTGACGCCCGGGAAGGCAGCCGACGCCAAAAGGAAGGGGTTCAGCAGGTAGGCCACGCCAAGCAGGCCAGGTCCGACACCGGACTCGGGCCGGAGGAGCACCCCGTGGTGCATGGCCGGCGAGCCGGCATCATCGGCAGCTCCGGCAGCAGGGGCTGCGGCACCGGCGGCCGGGCCCGGCGCGGCATCTGCCAAAGGCCCGCCGGGAGGGCCGCGCGACCGAGCACCAGGAGTGGCCACGGCCGAAGACCGGGCAGTCGCCTGGCTGTCGGCCAGTTGGGCATCTTTGGGGCGATCCTCGCCGCTGGCGAGGGCGCCCGTCGGGGACGCCACCAAGAAGGACCGCCGCCAGGAGATGGTCCGCTCGAGCACCGACCGGGAGAAGCGAATGACCAGCAGGGCGGTCAGCACATCGGCCAGCGCGGCCACCAGTGCCGACGCCACCGGGCGGCCGGCCGAGCCGAGCAGTGTATCCAGGTAGGCTGGCAGGAGCGAAAGCGGCGGCTGGGCCCGTCAAATGCGAGGAAATGCATCGGCGATGGGCAAGGGAAGGAGGCTCGGGCGGTGAGTGGCCGACGGGAGCCGGGAAGGAAGCCGGGCCGAGGGGCACCGCGGCGATGAGACACACGGTCCATGGGGCGCACCTGGTGCAAAGTCCACGAGGAGTAGGGATCGATACCGCGGGTCCACAGCCAAACCCCCTCCTGCAAGGCGGTGTGGTCGCCGGCGGTCGGCGACTGGAGGGCCGACTGGGCAGCTGGCCATTGGCTGCCGAGCAGGAACAGACGAATAGCCAAGGCGGCCGCCCCGACTGTCAGGGCAACCAGCGGGCTGGCCATGCTGAGGGGGGAGGGGAGTGAAATGGACACGAGTCGGCGCACGCGTGTGGATCCGTGTGTGTGTGTGTGAGAGAGAGAGGGGGGGGGGCCGGGGAGGGGGGCGCACACACACGCTGGAGAACGGGGGGATGCAAGAGAACAGGCGGCACGGGAAATGCAGGAGGGGAGGGGGGGAGGGAAGGCATATGGAGGAAAGAGGGAACCCGAGCTTCCCGAGGAGGCGGGCTTTTCCGCGATGCGGCGCGACGGCCCGTTGATGATCGGCCCTGATCCTCTCGGACGCGGGTGTCCACTTTGGGACATGGGGCAGTGCTGGCTCCGGGGCGCGGTCTCGTTGTGGGTGGGACTTCCAACGCTGGCGGCCAGGCCGGAGGCCCGATGATGATTGGCTTGTGTTCCGTTGGTGCGCCCTGCGCGAGAAGGGGGCTTCCCCCTTCAACCGGGGGGATGCGCCCGGCGACGGCCGATCACAGCGTCAGGTGTGGCAGGATCACGCGGAAGGTAGCTCCTCACGCGCCAGCCCGCGGCCCTCGTGCCGGGCCCAAGCAGGGTTTTCCCCCCTCCCAAGGAGCACATGGGGGCGCGCGGCCCTCGGGGCCCATCCCTCGGGGGCCCCTGTCTCCCGCCCCCCCCTGGCGTTCCGGCTTGGGCTCTCTCACTCACGCGGGGAGGGGGCTACGCCCAACACACCGGGACACACAATCGGGGTGCCCGGGCTCCGGGCCCCGGTCGAGGAGGGGCCGCGGCCGGCGACGCCCAAAGCATCTCCAACCCGCGAGGCGGGGGTCTCAGCGATTGGTTCACAGAAAGCACGGGCCACCGAGGCCCGGCGAACCCCGGCATCTGGCGGCCGCCCATGCCTGGCCCGAGAGGCGGGAGCTGGGCGGCGAAGGGCGCGCCCGCGCCCGCGCCCGCGCCCTCCCACCGGCACCAGGCCGGCTCCCGCGAATGGGCGGCCGCACCGCCGCCGCCGCCGCCGCCGCCGCCGCCGCCGGGCGACCGAGACTCTCCAGAACGCGCCCGCCCCTGGTAGCCGGGGCCCGGCAGGGGGCTTTTGCCGGGCGGCGAGAGGGCACATTCCCCAGCGCTCATGCCCCCGGCCCCCGCTCCCCCGAGGGCGTGTCCGGAGCCTTGAGGGTGTCTCTGAGTCCGCATCGATTGGGTCGGGTCCCAGAGCACAGGCCTCGGGGGTCGGGGCCCGGGGGTCCGTGTGACCGGCCCCTTTTCCGCGGCTCCATCTTTGCCGGAGGCGGGGTGGGGGGGAAGAGGGGGCGGGCCTCGGTCCGACACACCCGCGCGCTCAGCCCGCCGGGCAGGTGGGCGCGCATGTGTGCGCATGGGGGGGGGGGATAGTTTCCCTCGGGTGGGCGGGCACGCATGAGCGCGCGATCCGCGCCTCCCCCCCCCCTCCCCCTCGCCCCTCCCGTGGGTAACACCTCCTCTGCGATTTGTCCCACGCGGTTGGGGGTATATAAGCGGCCAAGCCGGCGCCGCCCGGTGAAGAACCCTTGGTGCCTTTTTCCCGCCATCCCCGCCTGCCCATCCTCCCTCCCCCTTCGCCCCCCCTTTGTTGGCGCGTGTGTGTGTGTGTGTGTCCCTTCCCTGGGCCGCTCCTCCCGCCCTCCCCTTCCTCCTCCGTCCCACCATTCGCCTGCCCCTCCTCCGGCGGACGCCCCTGCTGCTGCTCTTCCTTTCCCTGCTGGCCCTGGCTCCCCTGCTCCTGAGTGCCACCATGTTCGACGCCCATCCGATCATTCGTCCCCCACCTGTGGAGGTTGTCCAAGACTCCGAGAAGCAGAATGCCCCGGTCTTCCGTGTTGTCCTGACCGGCGGTGCGTGGCCCCCCGTGCCTCCCCTCGCCCTCGCCCTCGCCCTCGCCCTGGTGTTGGCTTCCTCATCTGCCCTCGGTGCTCCGATCGCGGCCTGCCCTCTGGCACAGATCTCCCCGACCTCCTCCATCTCCTCCCCCCTTTGCCCGCCCCTGACATGCCCTCCGTCCTTCTGCCGCTGCTTTGGCGTCGTCCCGGCCGGCGACAGGCCCCTGCGGCGGCAAGACCACCGCTCAGCAGCAGCTGATGGATACCTTCTCCTCGCTTGGCTGGAAGGTCTTCCGCGTGCCCGAGGCCGCCACCCTGCTGCTCGGCGGTGGTGTTGTCTTCAGCGAGTGCACCCCGGAGCAGAGTACGTGTCGAGCCCGCTTCCGAGAAGATGCCCTCCCCCCCCCCCCCTCCCCTGTGTGCGGTCCACATGGCATGTCTTCCCTTGCTGACCGATTGTTCCCCTCCCCCCCCCCCCCCCCCCGCTTGGCGGCCGCTCCCCTGCCGGGCCGGGCCCCATCATCCGTCCAGGCTTCATCTTCCAGGAGCAGCTCCTGCTGGCCATGCTGTCCATCGAGAATGTCTTCTTCGAGATGGCTCGCTCCAACTCCGAGCTCGGCATCAAGACCATTGTCCTGTGCGATCGTGGAGCCATGGACGCCAGCGCATACATCAGCCGCGAGGACTGGCGCCGGATCCTCGAGCGCAATGGCCTTGACGAGGTGGAGCTTCGCGACGCGCGCTACGACGTCGTCGTGCATCTGGTCACCGCGGCCGACGGTGCCGAGGGCTACTACACGCTGGCCAACAATGCCGCCCGGTCGGAGGGGCTCTCCCTGGCCCGGGAGCTGGACAAGAAGTCCTGCAATGCCTGGGTCGGTCACCCGGTGCTGGATATCATCGACAACAGCACCCCCTTCACGCAGAAGATCGAGCGCGCCACGGCCGCCGTGGCCAAGCGCCTGAACATCCCCGGGGTCCCGACCATCGACCAGCGCAAGTACAAGTTCCTGGTGGCCTCCCTGCCGGAGTCCTTCCCGGTGGAGCATCAGGACTTCCAGGTGGTCCACGATTATCTGATCTCGGATGGCACCACCGCGGCCGATGGCGACCGTATCCCGCAGCTGCGCATCCGTCGCCGCGGCCAGGGCAAGCTCTTCACCTATACCCTGACTCAGCGCGTGCGCCTGCCGGATGGCCAGCGCCTCGAGACTCGCCGGTCCATTGCCGCTCGTGAGTATGAGACTCTCTTGGCTCAGCGTGACACCACTCGCAACTCCATCGTCAAGCGCCGGATTTGCTTCATGAGCGACTCGCGGTACTACCACATCGGTATGAGGGCATTCCTTTCGCGGCTTCCCCCCGCGCCCACGCCTTTCTCCCCCGCCCCCCGGTCTGCTGTCATCGGCGGCCCATGATGCTGACACACTGCTCGCCTGTCTCGCTTGCGCCCTGCCCTGCCCTGCCCTGCCCTGCCCCCCGTACAGATGTCTTCCAGGAGCCCCATGCCGGCCTCCTCCTTCTGGAGACCTACAGCCAGGGCCCGCCTGAGCTGCCCCCCTTCCTGGATGTCATCCGCGATGTCACCAATGACCCCGACTACAGCATGTTCAACCTGTCCCGCATCTCTCCCTCCCCTTGCGCCGAGGCCACCGTCTCCTCTTCGCCCTCCCTGGAGATCTACGAGTAGCGCGGGGGTACACCTGTTGCGCCGTGCGCGCTGGGGCGCACATATAACAACACACATGCAAACATACACACCCCTGTGTCCCTCCCCGCGCATCCTCCCCCCCCCCCCCTCCCTGGCAAATAGCGGTGGCCGCGCGTAGAAGGAGGGGGGGGGCCAGGGGGGAGTAGCACACGTGCCCGAGCACCGACCCTTTCGGCGTGGCGCGAGCTCCATGCGCCCTGCGGCGCCGGCCCCACATGCCATTGTGCTCCCAATCCCCCCCCCCCCCTGCTCGTGCCGCCGCCCTCCCTTCCCCTCCCCTGTATACCCCCCTGCTCTCGTGTAGACCCTCCCCCTATCTCCCCCTCTCCCTGTCTTTCCTCCCCCATCCCCACCAATGTACACTATTTCCCGTCCCCTCTCCCTCTTTGGAGACCATGTCCGGTGCCAATGCGCGGCTGCGCACATGCGCGCTTGTGTGTCTGTGATGGACTTCCATGGTGGCTGAGAGCCCCCTTCCCGCCGGGGGAGGGGGCAAGACACAGGCGATGTCGCGCCCTCCCC